TGCCCCCCTATATATTGTGCCTAGAGTCGCCACTGACTGCCTGCCTGCCTGCCTGCCTTTTTCCATCTTCAGCTCTTACCTTCCTCTACCCTACGCTATGTTTTTCCTGCAGACCTGTAGTGACATCCATGGCCAGAGCATATAGTTATATATGCTGGGGGCATCTGAGTATTGGTAGAGGCACTTGCATAGCTTTTTTTCACAGTAGAGGAAATGCCTTACCTGGTAAAAGTCCAAAGCTGGCAGAGGGAACTTTTCACTTGGAATTATTACCACAGCATTTCCACGCACAATGGCTGGGGCAAAGAGGCTGACGAAGCTAAGAAGTGGGCTTTCGTCCGGGCAAACAATGCCAACAACTCCCATTGGTTCTCGAATCAATACAGTGGCTCCATAAAGCAATGTTTCCTGAAATGAGGCAAGAAATAAAATCCACTGTCAATGGAACTTTGTTAACAAAACAGTAAAATAAAGCTCACTTTGGCTGTACGGGCTATTCACTATAGCCCGTACAGCAGCCAAAGCCAGGCGAACGGCTCAGCCGAGCCGAGCGCATATGCTGCGGCTCGGCTGAGCTGTAGTCTCAACTGAAGAGGACGAACAGCCTGCCGAAGCAGACCTCCCGTCCCGTAAATGACAGCAGTTCGGCGGAGACGGCCGAGATGTCACCGCTGGCTCTGCCCGGTTGTTGTGCTGCAATGACAGATCAGCATCCTCAAATGACCTGGGGACGCTGATCTGTCATTAAACTACAAGAACTGGGCAGAGCTGGCCGTGATGTCACGGCCGACTCTGATCAGTTGTTTTCATTTGCCCGGGACCTGCTGGATGTCACCGCTAGCTCCGCCCAATTGTTTATATTTTGCCAACACCTGTCAGTTTTTTCATTCTGCGGTGGGAGTTCGTCGAGTGTGTCAACTTTTTAAAAATGTATTATTGTTTACATTTAGTCAAGACGTTGGCGTGGACAACACTGGATGTCGTGGTTGACCCTGGATTACGTCTGTGGATCAATTTTTTTTAAAAACCACAATAAAAATCCTTTGTTGTGGTTTTTATTTTAATGATTTTTGATTAAAGTCTGGCCTCCTATAGGTAGGGGTACTTATTCACAAGGGGTGGGCACATCTGGGTGGCCCTTTATTAAAGGGGTACTCTGATGTGAATAAGCCCCAGTGCCCACACCCCCACAACCAATGCCCCAGGACTTGTGGGGAAGAGGCCCTTGTCCCCATTGGCTTTTCACTCGTCCCCCCCTTTCCTGCCCTGCCAGACCTGTGCTTGGATCAAGGGTCTGAATTTATTTTTTCTTTAAATTTTTTTATCAATGATTTTTATAAATTTTTTTCTTTATTTTACATTTATTTAAATGATTTTTAAACATTTTTTATCTTTTGTTTACATTTTTTCTATTCTGCTCGTTACCTCAGAGGTAGCGAGCAAAATAGCCGAGCCGAATGCAAAAGCTGATCCGGGCATGAACCAGAGCTCATTGAGTTAATGCTGTTGATGGGTCCCTTGGGTTCCGAGGCAGACTCTCAACAGCAATTTAGATAGTCATAGCATATTGATCAATGCGATAGGTGATCGCTATGATCATCGTGCTGTGACAGAAACCGAGCCAGGCATTCAGCTTACTGTGTTGTGAAGCTGGAAGCTGGCTGTGTATTACAAAGTGATGCAAAGTATCTCTGAGAATACAGTATCTCATCAGGATACATTGTATCAAAAGCCCCTATAAATAAAAAATTAACCCCTTAGTTCCCACTAGTTTTAACCCCTTAATGACCGAGGCCTTTTTAATTTTTTTGCATCCATGTTATAATCCACATTTTAGACCTGAAAATTACTTAAAACCCCCAAACATTATATATTTTCTGAAAGCTTAGTCCCTGTAGAATAAAATGGTGGCAGTTGCAAATTTTTATGTTGCACAATATTACCGCAACTTATTACCAAACCCAAAAATTTTGTGAAAAATGCACTTAAGTTACATTTAGTGCCCTAAAACACAATAAAATACCATTTTTTAATAAAATATAAAAGATGAGGTCACAACGAGTAAATAGATATCCAACATGCCCAGGTTAACAATTGTGTGCGTCTGTGAAACAGCGACAAAATTCAGTAACCCAAAAAGTTCATAGACTACGCTTTAAAAGCCCCTACAGGTCATTACTTTAGAGATGCACTTAAATATTGGCCCTAGAATTATTACTCTCACTCTGGAGTGCGCAGCGATACCCAACATGTGTAGCATTATCGTCGTTTTCTTACGTAGGTGCACCTAATGTGTGTTTACGTTATGATGCCCGTGCTCGCGGGGGACTTTAAAACATTCTTTTAAAAATTATTTTTACACTTATTTGATATTTTTAAAACTGTTATTTTTATTTTACTTTAATTGCTAACACATAGGGGGCTAACACATAGGGGGCTGTGATAGCAGATTAGTGGTGACAGGTCCTCTTTAAAGGTGATCACTGGGGGTCCAAAAGTATCACCTTTCCAATTGAAATAAGCTATTGAAGTGCAGATCCCTCTTCACTGGTCATGAAGGTGGATAAAAAAAATTGGCCGGTTCATATTCAATTTTTAAAAATAAAAAAAAATAAAAAAAAGGAAAAAAGTCCTAAAATTTTGTAAAAATATGTTCAGTGACAAAAAAAAGAAAATATAGTGCCGAGGAGGCTAATAAAAGCCTAATTATGTACACATTATTACTGGCAAAACTGTGAAAAACATTTTTTCTTCATTTTTTGGGGATTTTTAAAAATATTTTTTATAAAAAGATAGGAATTTAAATATGTATATGTCACATCAAATTAAAGTCCATTTTGTTCTTTAAAGAATGGTATGTAATATGTGTAGGTGCAATGCATGAGGAAGATGGTAAGGCCTCATTCATGATAAGATCTGGCCCGTACAGATCCGTGCAGCGTGCACGGCTGCATCGGGCTGCTCCCAGTACGGACACCCGCACGGATGTGCAGCTTGGGTGAGCGTACGGCCGCGTACTCCCATAGAGTAGAACAAGCTGCTGCGTGCAATCACACGCAGCACCTGTCCTTCCAGGCAGCGTCCCGATACGGCCGTGCATGCCACACGGATCTTTACGTGCCGGCTTTTAGGAATGTGAACGAGGGCTAATTGTGGTTAAACAAACACATAGCAAAAAGGTATCTTGAAGAGAAATACATCTAGGGGAAAGTACAATTCCCATCATGTAATGAGAGCTGTAGTTGTGAATGGGCAGGAATGTGGGTGGAATTTCTGTAGCCTGCCAATCATAGGTGTAGGTAGGCGTGACAGACCACAAGTCTCCTAGCCTGCCAGTCACAGTGAGAGATCATAGTGAATGGGACAAACCTTAGTTTCCTGGCCTATCACTCAAACTGAGCAATAAGAGTGGGCGAGTCAGACCTGGACTCTGAGATTCCAAGGTCCGCCCGCTACAGCAAACGATTATGTAATTACTGAAAAACACATTACATAGGGGATGTTACAAGACAGGTGACCAGGACAATGACAGGTATAGTGGCCACTAGTCTTAGAAAATAGAAATAAATGGGTCAGAGTCCTTTTTCAGAATGACTCCAGCATGGAGTTTTGCATGGGAGGTCAACTGTGAATAAAAACAAGACAAAATGGGGGGAATTTATCAAAACTAGAGCAGACAAAAACTGGAGCAGCTGCCCATGGCAACCAATCAGCGTCTCTCTTCAGTTTGTTCAGTTAAGATTTAAAAATGAAAGAGAGAAGCTGATTGGTTGTCATGCACAGCTGCTCCAGATTTTGTCTGCTCTAGTTCTGATAAATTCCCCTCAATGTATTTAGGCCTCGTTCACACCATAGGCAGTGCGTTCCGGTCCGATTCTGACCAGAACGCACTGCCTCGCATTGTGGCCGGGTCAGTTTTTTGCCGGGCAGGAGGGGGCGTGACGGGCCATTGAAGTGAATGGCACCGTAGCCAAGCCCTCGGGCCGCAATGCGATCGCAGGGCACATTGTGCCTGCAGTGCGTTCGGCTGCGGTGCGATCAAAATAGAACTTGCAGCATTTTTATCGCACCGCAGCCGAATGCACTGCAGGCACAATGTGCCCTGCGATCCCGTGCGGGCGATCGCATTGCGGCCGGAGGACATGGCTACGGTGCCATTCACTTCAATGGCCCGCCACGCCCCCTCCTGCCCGGAAAAAAACGCAGCCGGCCGCAATGCGGGCAGTGCGTTCCGTCCAGAAACGGACCGGAACGCACTGCCTATGGTGTGAACAAGGCCTAAAAGGTAAGAAAGGACGTTTCCAGATATAATAGTTTTGGCCAGAGCTTTAAAAAAGCATTGGAAACTGAACATCCTACACACATCTAAAAAAAACTTTATAAAAGTACATCGGAAGTGTTTGTAGTAGATCCTCTCCTTCTGTGCCTCTGCTGCTCCTCCCTTGCACTTGCCGGCAGTTCCGAACTTTCAAAATGACAGTTGGGAAATACGGAGTAAATATAGCAGCTGTAGAAGCAGAAACTTCTGCCCAAAAAGTAGGACCGTGTGATCCAGAGTTGTAAATACTGATTAGAACAGAGATACAAGTAGTAAAGTAACATTTAATTCATCTGCAGATCAAAAGGGATGATTTTTTCCTATTTTCTAACTACTCAAATTTAAATGTTTTTCCTTTTTGATTTGATGTTTAGTAAATGTTTTCAGTGTCACTTAAAAAAAATTAAAAAAGACTTTAATAATTTGTAAATTACTTTGCAGTGCACAATTATAATAATTTTAGTGTCATTTTAAATGGGAGAAGTACTAAAATAAAATGTATACTTTTTGTCCACTTTAATACATTTCATTTAATACTGATGAAACATAAAACTAAAAATATGCATTTTTTTATTTTTATTTTTTTTATTACATTTTTTTTTGCAAGACGCTTTCACTAAAGGAAAGCTTTTCCTGTAAGTAATATATGTATTACTTTGTTATCTTTAGTAATGACAAAGTTATTGTTTAATCAATAGTCACATAGCAATGATTAATGATTACACTGGAGCCTGCTTGCCTTTGTATTACAAGCATTCAGATGCAATTCCTTTTTTTCTCCTATTACATGATGAGCAAGCAGTTGCAAATTCTTCTTCCTTTACAGTAAAAAAAGTAACTTGCTTATTAACCTGAATACCCCTTAGTGACCAGAGCAATTTTTATATTTCGATCGAGAATGAAAACAAGTTTAAATATTAATAGATTAAAAAAAAAATAATAGTAAAAAGAAAAAGAATAGCAGTTAAGGGATAAAGGGAACAAATCAGTTAATTAAAGTAGAACTGAAGCCAAAACTTTTTTTTTTAATAAAAATAATATCTAGTGACACAGCCATAAAGTTCCTTGTTTAGGTACTTCCTGTTACCGAGCAACAAATTCCTCTCCTGCATCATCACCCTGTATAACTATAAGCAGCCATGCTGACGCTCACTGCGCAGGTATGTTCTTCTGTTCTCATGTCACAAGACCCACCCTGAGCAATCGACAGTAGTTGCCATTAAAGAAAGTGGATGCAGAAAGGAAGAGTCTGCAGGAGATCAGTGCCAGTTGTTTGATACACAGGGTGGAGCAGACAAAAACTAGAACAGTGGTGCATGGCAACCATTCAACATCTATTTTTTATTTTTCATTCTTCAAAGATTAACTGAACAAGCTCAAGAGAGAAGCCGATTGGTTGCCATGCACAGCTGCTTTAGAAACCATCTCCGCCAGCTTCAGAAATGTCACACCCACTGTGCTTTAGCAAACTAAATATCATCCAGTTGGGGTTTACATTTACTTTAAGAAGTATCACATGACAAAGTCTGGCAATACTTTCTAGCAAATCTTACTTGTACACTGCCTCCATATTTATCACAGTATGCACCCCAGTAGAAAAGGCGCTGAATGCTGAGATCCACTTCTTGCTGGGACTTCTCTCTTGATTGTCCAGTTAGTGTACTCAGTCTTTGGGCTACTTCATCCCTCCTTAGCTCGAGGTTTTCTGCCATGTAATAGACAATCTGTGCTCTGTTATGAGCAGCCCTCTTGCCCCAACTGCCAATGTCAAAGACAGAAAAAGTTATTTTTCGCATTTGTGCATAGATGTAACAGGACTTTGAGCATGAACATTGCTTGTGCCAGACATGACCACTTTTACCTGTAGAATGCATTGACACCCTGTATCCATTACATTGTTTTTTTGAAATACCACAGACATATCTAAATATCAGCTTCTAGGTTTTTAAATCACAGCATAGAAACATTTGCAGTTCTTCAGTCACATTATGGTGTGTAGATTAACAAACCGGTTGAAGTCGATCCACCCCGCTGGCTGCTTAACATATAGCTCTGCCTCTGTAGATGCAGAGCCAGCTGTGCCTGCCACCTCCCCAGTCTGTTCCTTCAGTCAGTGCTGGAAAATGGGGGGGGTCACAGTCACCACTCTCTGCAGGGAGAGGATCAGGAAGTCAGCAATCGAGGGTATGTGTTCGCCAACTTCTCGATCAATAGAACCGACCTGTGACAGCTTCAGTGTCACAGGTCAACTTAAATTATGAGGGGGTGTTTTCCACTCACCTCATAAGCTTCTTTTAACCCCTTCACGACCCATGACAGGATAATCCCGTCATGAATCCTGAAGGGGTTAAACAGACTCCAGACTGTTGAGATTTGTCGTTTCACAAACCATAGGGGATTATAAGGGTTTCTGGAGGGGTGTAAATGAATCTATATATTCTACATGAGTGTGTTCAATTATGTAGTAGCTTATTGATTGGGTGAATATATGTATCTCAAGGGTACGTGTCCTATCAGTGCTCATTATAAGTAAGTGATAGATCGAAAACCCCAGCCCCTATATCTACTTAGCCCATGGTCCCTGGTGTTTGTCCTGTTGGTAATTGTACCTTATCCCCATACTCGCCCGATCGGTTGCATGCATAGATATACCCCATTGTCCTTACATGTCAGATCAATATCTCTGGTTTTAATAGTTATAGCTTTCTTACCTGGAGTCAAGAGGCTGGCCGTGACGTCCCGTGGCGAACTCCGCTGGACTGATCTAGCCACAGCTCCCCCCCTATATATACCCCTCGCCACCAGATCAGGGAGTCGGACTAACAAGTTCCGGTCCCCAAGTGGCGGCGCGGACTCCTCCAGACGCATGCGCGGATTCGTGGCGCCACGAATTGAACACACTCATGTAGAATATATAGCTTCTACATGATGAATGAATTTTAAAACAGCATGACGGACTCACATAAGTACCCATCACATGAATTAGATGTATATGCATGTGCATACATACATATAGATACAGAGAGATTCTTTTTGTTTTTTGTTTTCTGTTTTTGTTTTGTTCTTAATTTATCACTTAGCACCTTTATGTGAATTCTGCCACGAGCAATTTGAAGTGAGCACCTAACATGAAACCTGACATCAGGGCAGATTCATTATATTATTATTAGTTGAGATTTGTAGAGCTGGCTTTACAGTAGAAGCGATTCTGGTGGCTCAGCTGCCACCAGATCGCTTCTGCCATCCGGTAAAGTGGACGCCCCCCAGTCTGAAACCCCGCTGTGTTTCCTGCGCTACGCTGCCCCTCCTACAGGCCTGGGACCGGCGTCTGGGGTGTCAGTGGGATACGTTCTATGGGACCGGGAGTGATGCATATTGTCCCTGAGCTGTCATTGCTCGACTCCTGAAGGCCAGCAATAAGCTATTGAAGTGCGATCTGCACTTCAGTAGCTTATTTAGAGTGGAAAGGTGATACTGGGGTGCAAAAGATCCCTAGTATCACATTAAAGAGTACCTGTCACCAACAATATGCTATGTTAAAAAAAGTTTGAAAAATATTAAACGTAAAAATAAAAAATGTTAAAGGCCCCTTCGAGCACGCACGCCGTCACGTAAACATTTGTCGGGTGCGTCTACGTAAGAAAACGACAATTGCGCTACACAGGTTGGGTATCGCTGCACATGCCAGAGTGAGAGCAATAATTATAGGGCCAATATTTACATTTATCTCTAAACTGATGACCTGTAGGGGCTTTTAAAGTGTTGTGAATGGACTTTTTGGAGTACTGAATTCTGTTGCAGTTTTATGGACGCACCCAATTTTTATCCTGGGCATGTTGGATATCTATTTACTTGTTGTAACCTCATCTTTTATATTTGATAAAAATGGTTTTATATAATGTTTTGGGGCACTAAATTTAATGCAAGTGCATCTTTCACTAAATGTTTGGATTTGATAATACGTTGCGCTAATGTTGTGCAACATAAAAATATGCATCTGCCACCATTTTATTCTATAGGGTATTGGCTTTCAGAAAATATATAATGTTTGGGGGTTTTAAGTAATTGTCAAAAAATGAAAACCTCACACCTTTATTTTAAACTCCCTGAATTATTAAGACAGGGACATGGTCATTACAGTAACAAGAAAGAAAGGGAATATTCCCTACCTGAAAGTAACAGTGGCAGCCTAAAAGTGAAAGAGAAAAACCCAAAAAACGCTTGCTTCACCATGATTAAAAGAAATCTTGGAATTAAATACACAGGACCTTTCCAGCGCATCTAGGGTTGTGGATGACGGCCACACTGGGGAAGAGGGGGGAAGTCACTAGACTAGTGTAGAAAGTGTATTTTCACTTCTGGGGTGAAATATTTGTTATATGTTTCCCATTCACATAATATAACTTACTGTTTTTAATAGCTGCTTGCATAATACATGCTCTATTCTGAAAGAAAAGTTGTTCTCTGTACTGTTAAATAGCTTATTAATAATAATGCAATATTGCTTCTGACCTGAAGAGAGGTTCACTCTCGAAAGCTTGTCTTGTATATATTTTGTTAGTCCAATAAGAAAGGTATAATTGCACACTGCAATACTTAGTTTTTGTCTTTTTTGACATCTTGTCTACTGGACTAATACTACTTACCCATTTATATTGCACTATATAGAAAGATCAGTCATCTGCCATTAGATAGCAGCTATGCAGACACATCTTAAAGTTAAGCATCTTTTTAAAAAAAAAATTATTATTATTAGGTATGTGGTGTGAATAGGAACACATAACAAACATATAGTGAGATTTTGTCAAATTTGACTGCAAAAGTGGAAATACACTTTAACCCTTTTGCTGACAGAGCCATTTTTGGACACATGTTAAAAGCCTGAAAATTAGTTAAATCCCTCCAGAATGATATATTTTCTGAAAGCAGAGACCATGGGGAATAAGGGCCTGTTCACACGACGTCCGTTTTCTGTGCTGACCTGATCCGTACGCTCCTGCACTAAAAATGCATCCCAAATGTATCCCTATGTGTTTTATGGGCTACAGTTCTCACGTGCGCAGTCACATTTTGTACGGTCAGGAAACGGTCAGGAAACGCAAAACGCGTCAAAAATGCACTGCACTGCAGCTAACATACTGACAGCCCCACTCCAGCAAAAAAAAATAGTTTTATTTTTATTTTACTGGAGCGCATCAAAAACGTGGCCAAAACGCACTGCATCAGTAGCACCACATCTGCAGATCCGCACCTGATCAGGACCTGATATCATGTGAACAGGCCCTAAACTGTTAGTTAAACCATATATAGGCCCTAAACTGTTAGTTAACACAATATAATTCCCAAAATGAAAGATGTGGTTGTGGCGAGTAAATAGAACATGTCAAGCCTTAAAATGATGCACACCTGTAAAATGGGGACAAACTTCAGTACATTATGTACATCTGACAAAACTAATCAAAATGTACCTCGCCCTTCCTCAAAATTATTTGATGACTTACTCTTGGCTGCTTGTTGTTCTACATCACTGAAATGTTCTCAGTTTTCCATGCAAACAAGTCCCAAATCTGCTTTGTCTGCCAAATGAAATAAATGACTGCAAACATTTGAGAGTCTAGGAATGTTCTACTGACCATAGAATGTACTGTATATGCAAGCTAATAGCACATTAGATGGCAGTCCCATGGCCAGATAATGGGATGTTCTACCTACGGAGAAAGCCCCAGCAGTCCCCGAAAAACAGCCAGAGAAAAAAAAATTCTTAGGCAAGTTAGGTCAGAAATCCCTAAGCAAGACATTGCTGACTCAGGACTGACTCCTGACTGTGGCTCTCCATTCCTCTTACTATGGCCTAGGAATGCTCATGTGACCTCAGTGGTCCTGTTTGGGACAGACGCTGATTTGAAAGACATCATGAGATGACATGCGCATCTGAATGTTTAATGATGGCTTCTGACAGCTTTAACATAAAAAAGGACTTCTAAAAGGTTCCCATACATTTTCAGAAAGCACTTAAAACAGGAACAATACAACTGACCCTAGGCCTTGGTGTCCTTGGCTCATCCAAATAGTTATAGAAAAAAAGCCTGAAGGTTGCTCAGCCAAGCATTCAAGTTGCTATGCAGAAGGACATAGGAAATCATAAATCGGAATGAGCTTTCCATTCTGCTCATTTAGGGCAGTTGGCCAACAGATCAGGAAACGGTCATTTGATGACTATGGGCAGCTAAAACACTCTTCCTGTGAGGCAAATTGCAATGTATAGGAGAAGCCAATCCAAGCCCCCAACTATTATTTATTTTCCTTGTTTCTTACCCTGTGTTAGAACTTTACAAAGGTTTGCCTGTCATTTACACATGTTTGATTGAAAGTAAAAATGTGAAAGTCACAAATTAAAAAAGGTAAATATTACAATAAATATGTACTCAAAAAATAATACATTTTCCCTTGAAGATAAATTGAACGTTTAGTTTACATTTTTTAAAAGGGTGTTTGATATTGTTTTCCATGTCTTTTTCGGTTTGTAAAAAAAATCTTTAAAAAATACAAAAACAAAGTGCGGGCACCTTCATACACTTATATTATTGTCCCCTACCATTTCAAACCCTTTTTGGGAAACTACTGTGAAGGTTGAATTGAAACATAGGGAGTTTTCCCGACAGACACCTACTTATACTCAGAGGTGACAAATCTAAACACCTACCCAGGAGCTGCTTTATGGGCGGTCTCCACTGCGTTGCGGACATCTTTTCTGTTACTGTCTGAAACATATGCTATCACAGTACCATCAGAGCCATAGATAGGGCGAGAGTACATGCCATCAGGACGTTTTTGGGCCCCACCATAATACAGCTTGAAGGTCCTGTCGACGCTAAAAGGAAATGGAAAGGCTCCGTTTAATAAGAATAAACACAGAATTGCAAGCATTCTTAGTGGAACATTACTTGGTTTATTGAAGCATGGCTCCAGTTTTGTTAAAAAACTGAAAAATTTAAGATCATAGTGTGAACTAAGTATTTCCTTAAATTAAATGGTCAGTCTCAGTTTTATAATAAGAAAAAATGACCCCATTTGAATTTGCCAAAATGTTGAATTTTTTTTAAAATTTGAGGAAAGTGAAAACGCTAGAGAATTTTGCTCATATGCAGTGTTTTATCTGAAGCACCATGAACACATGCATACTTTTGTGGTCAGGCCTTGGTCAGATTTGTAGCACGTCCCAATTAGTGTAGCAATATCTGTATTGTTATAGTGATCGCAAGCACCAGGAAAGTTGTCTTTAGTCATGGACTTTCTTCCTCATTTCAGCTGTCCCTATATTCTTTGGTGGAGCAAAGAAAATTGTATAGAAATCCCTGCCAAACAATAAAAAAAATAAAAAGGAAAACAAAATTAACAATGGCAATCAAGAAATTCATAAGTACCCAGAGTTGCAGTACAACATGGGGTTATAATAGGGTAATAGTGGGCATATTTATAAAGCAGTGTATATGACTTTCACCAAACAAACATTAATGCAAAAACCCTTGCATGTTCCCAGATAGCAAGCAATTGAGCTACATGTTTGAAAATGACTTGCTAAGCTATTGCAGACTTGCCAAGCTTCACAATTTTGTTGCACAATTACTGTAAGTCTGCATTGCAAGTCTGCAGATCAACGTGCTTTGCAAAAGTGCTGTACACTTGCAGGACTCTTGCTGTAGACTTGCAAAGCAAATTTGCTACAAATTCAAAAAGTGTCAACTAGAACTTGTGCTGCAAGTGTTCTGCAAGTCTACAACTTCCCAGGAATGTGTGCAAGTTAACAAGAATTACAATTTAACCCTGCCCCAAGTTTGTGGCAAGTTATCCTTGCTAGCTGGGGTTTTTGCATATATCTACTGCTAGCAAGCAGTAGATATATGCAAAACGAAAAAAAAAAACCCCAAACATCTGAAAATTTCTCGAGTGGCCGCAAAGGATCTTGGGGCGAACTCATGAGCAGTTCAGATGTTTGACCGGGAGAGGAGGAGAGACAAGGTGCAGCATGCACCCGCACAGACACCGTGGGACATGAGAGAAGAGGAGGACAGAGGAGTCAGCGCTGGATCGGAAACCCGCACCAGCGCTGGAGGTACAGCTGAAAAGGACCGTAAAAAAGAAGATGATCGGATTAAGAGACATCATTTAGAGTAAGTCCTTACATTAGCATTGTGGGGGATCACTCGTTGTGCACTCGCACTAATACAAAGGAGGAAGGGAAGGGTCCATGAAAATAAAAAACCACAAAAACAGGCACAAAAAATTAATATAAACAACACACACCCAAAAACACACAAACAAGACAAAAAAAGAAAAAGAAAAGACATAATGAATAATAAAACACATCTGGTACAGCAGTTGTTTACCTTCACAAAATTGATGCGCTTATCTGTACCATTACTTAGATCCTCATTAATCTGGGGTTCCTTGGAACCAATTTCACAAATTGAGGGGGACATGGCAATTCCCAATATCGGCAAGTCTCCCCCCACCCAGCACCGGCGTCCCGTCCCATTTCGAAAAAATGGAACGAAACGTCCGAGAGCTCCCCCATCCCCCCTCTGCACTCAGCGAAGTCAACTGTACCATCACCCTATTTATAGGTCCGAGTGTACAGTATTCATATATAGCTATAATTCGGACAACCGTCCAAGCCGTAAACACAGCTAGAGCACCATGTAGCCAACAATAAAAGAAAACAACAGGGAGAGGTAAAAGAGAAGAAGTGAAGGAGAGAGAGAGGGCCTTAAGAGGGAAAAAGCACGCAAAAAGCAGGGAGTAAATACCGTTATCATACACCCTCTCCCTCCACTGCTCCCCACATATATTCCTCCACCTAAGACCAAAGCCATGACAATTTTGCTTTGTAGATCTTTGTAGTACAGAAAGAACTTAAAGATGAAAAAGTGCAGAATTCTTTGTTATAAAGGGTACTTTGGACAACAACAAAGTACGTCGGCTGAGGTACACTTCCATAACATAAATCATGTCGCCTTCCTAAATTGTAAGCTCTCATAAGCAGGGCCCTCCTGACCATCTCGTCTTGAATTGTAATTGTACCCTCTTCCTGTTTAAACTGTTAGAGGTATCCTGCATAATAATTCATCATCAATCATATCCTCAATCCACATCATCATTAATAATAAAAATCATCAATCTATATCATCAATGCACATCATCATCAAGCTAGATACAGTTAAAGTCTTCACATCTGGCATCTTAATTCTAGGTCGAGACTTCACTATGACAAGAGTCAATAACCTGATATACTCTACCTGTGTAAATACTAAAACCCCTACTGCTATTGCTTTGGCTATCCACAGGCACGGAAAATCTATTGCAAAACACTGCACCTCACGCGTACAGTTGACTGATGTTTACATTCAAAAGAATGGGTTTAAATTGAACAGGACAACATCCCAATGTCCCTTCAATCTGCCCTGTGGCTCCCATCATGGCACTCGCAAGCCCTTAAATTCCAACTGACTATTAAAGATACTTAGCATGTTCCGCAACAGATTTTCATTTAAAAGTGATCTCTCCTCACCCCATGATGCTAGTTATTTTACAAAGAATTTTGGGGAATAAAAACAAAGAATAAGACAGATACAGAACCAGACAAAGTAATATGCAAAAAAATATATCAGTAGTAACCATCATAAACAGTTCATAAAAAAAAAAGGTCAAGAGCACCCATTTCCACATGGGAGAAGGTGGCAACATAAAGGCAATAAGTAGGAAGACGTGCAGGGTCAATTCCATTACTGTACCAACAATATGCACAAAGAAAACACAAGGGGGCATCGTGACTAAACGTAAGGGCAATGGTCAGCTTATGCGGCCCCTAAAACAAACAGTGGTAGCCACAAAAATTGGGTAAGGAAGGGGAAGAAAATGGTAGCAATGGGATCCAGGTCTTCAAATAAGATGAATGAGAATCAGACCAGATAGCTGTGAGTTCTTCATGCACCATTATGTCCATGACTCTCTGCTTCACCTCCAGGAAGTCCAGGGTCGGTTGCTTCCAGGCCCTTGCTATGGTCTGATGGGTAGCCAGAAAGATAAAAGCTGCCAACTTTCACTTCCGTTTCATGAGTTTTGTAACCGACCTTCCTAGCAGTGCCTCTCATGGAATAAAAAAACAAATGAAAACAGTTGTCAGCAAGCTGTAGACCTGTATCCACAACCTCTGCACTCTCAGGTACTCCACCAAACCATGGTGCTAGTTATGGGATACTGGGCATGGACAACAGGTACTTCAAACAGGTTCTGAAGGGTAATTCATTTAGACTCGTTTTCCACTCACTATGTAAACTACAAGGAAATTTAAAATGTATTATCTCCACCACTGGATGCATGGGCAGCTTACCAACTTTGGCATTTTTTAAAGCAATCCCAGACCACCCCCAACTTCCTCCCTTCAAGGACCTTTGCTGGAAACAGTCTTCAATGGCCCATTTACTGTCCTACATATACAAGTTTGTTGTAGCTTTTACTAATGACTACATGCCTCCATATTTTTGTAACTGGGAAGTTGATTTTCAAACAAAATGCACTCAAATAGAACAAGCTATTCACTTTACACATGCATAGTCCATAGCTACCTTCTATCTCCGAGCTTGAAAAAGAGGATTTCCTCTCCTCGAAACGCGTTGCTCACTGGACACGGCCCCGTGCACTCCCCTTCCTAACCGACTGTCACTTCCACTCCAACACATCCAGAAGAAATACTAAATGAAGACCAGAGGTAGCTTCCACACTAGCCCTTCGGCACACAGAACATCCAATCTGCCCTCTACCTTTGTCCTTGACCCCCGAGTTCACTACCACAACTTATGACACCATTCCCAGCTGCCACGAACAACCCCTAAAGAAAGTCCTATTTCACCCCTACTCTACCAATTGGGGACCACTGGAAATTGAACAAAACTTATCCAACACCCCCTGCAGTTCCAGAATCCTCACTGCGCCCAGATGCCTAACACTGAACTGAAAGAAACCAGAACACCAAACACCTATAATAGGAATACAAAAGGAAGGCCGGGAACCCTGCTGTCCTGGAAGACTACTGGAAATAGAGTTACCAATAAGTCTAACTCCAGTTTTCCCCAGTCGTCTTCCGGGACAGCATATGAGAGGATAAACAAGAATTTACAAGCTAGGGAGAGACCACAGCCTCAAAAAAACTTTTCTACCAAAGGCCTGACCTTGACTAGACCCAAGGTCCAGGCGGTAATGCTGAACAAAGGTGGAAAAGCTTGCCCACGTCGCTGCCTTGCAAATTTGTTCTGGAGTAGCACCAGCCCTTTCCGCCCAGGATGCTGACAGGACCCTGGTGGAATGGGCATTGAGAAAAACTGGTGGAGGCATATTCATAGAACGGTAAGCTTCACAGGTGGCTAGCTTAATCCATTTTGCAATGGAAGGTTTATAGGCTCAGTTGCCCTTAAGCTTGCCAGAAAAAAAGTACAAATAAGGCATTGAATTTCCGAAAAAGCTCTTGGTGGCCTGTGAATAGGAGAGAAGACAACGTCTAACATCTAAATCAGGGGTCCCTAAATGGCGGACTGCGGTCTGTATACGGACCAAGCAGATGTTTTACCTGGACCGTGATTGCGACTAGGTTATGGCTGGCTGATAGACAGCCAGCCATAACCCAGTGCAAATCCCCATTCCTCCTCAGTCATTGGCTGCTAGGACCGCAGCGTTCCTAGAAACCAACTACGTCAGCTTGGTTCCCTGCCCATCATTAAGAGAGGATGGAAGAGTATAGTCTTCAGTCCTCCCTAGCAGCCCAAAGTCTGCCCCGCCTCCCATCATCTCCACCTCCTGCCTCCTCCTATCCTATCC